TCTGGTGGGCTTTGCCGTGTGTTTATGCCTTTCCTTGTAACACGGAGAGCAGAAAATTAGATACCACGGGCACAATATAAACAAACTTTTAAAAATTAAACACTTCTTGTTATTGTTCGGTGTTAGACACAATCTGAGCTGTCAAAGATCATACGTTAAAAAAAAAAGAGGTGCCCTAATAAATTATATTTGTAATTGGTGGCTCTGCAAACTACCCGCTCTGTAAAGTCTCAGGAAATGTCTTCATATCCCACTTCAAAGACAAGCAGAAACCAACCAAAATATAGTTTGGATTTTTTTTTCTTTATTAGATAAGTTTTTGTTTGTCTTTATAACTTTGTTTGGAAACATTTATTTACACTCTCAGTGTTTTACTATAGAAAATGCCAAACTGGATCTCATACAGCTCACCCTGCCCTCAGCTGTGAGAGAGCACTTCACCTCCTCATGCCTTACTTTCTCCAAATGCAAAACTGGTCTCTAAGCCTTCCCAGATAGTATTCCTGTATCTGAAAGGTGCTAATGGAGAGCTACACTGGCTAGAGTCAGAACAGTGTCAGAAAGTCTGTGGGCAAATTAATGTAATGATAACAATTGAGTTCAAGGAGCCATGGTCCTGGTTGCATTGATGTAGACAATGTTTTGATTTCAACCCCGTAATTCCATGTAAAATCATGTTTCTTTGACATGTTCTGCTTGTGTGGATAAATAGCAAATTTTATGGTTGGCATCCATCGTACCTTTTATATCAAATCTGCTCTGTAAACAAAGCAAAGTAACTGCCTCATGCACTAGTTCTGTCTTGTTTACTGCAGGTCATGTTTTTAGGACTCTTCATACTTTGTTCTCCCCTGTCATTGGTTACAAAAAGTTGAGGAAAAATCTCTTTATTTCCACATCAAGAAATGTTTAAAGCATTGTAGTGGGTTGACCCTGGCCAGATGCCAGATACCCACTAAAGCTGCTCTCTCACTCCCCTCTGCAACTGGACAGAGGAGGGAAAAAACCAATGAAGGATTCATGAGTTGAGATAAGAGCTGGGAGAGGTCACTTACTGATAACCTTCATGGGCAAAACAGACTCCAACTGGGGATATTACTTAAATTTATTACTAACAGGATCAAAGCAAAACAGTGAGAAATAAAATAATCTTGAAAACATCTTCCCCCCACCCCTCCTTCCTTCTAAAACTCTACCTCCTCCCCTCTAGTGGTGCCAGGGGAATGGGGAATGGGGGTTACGGTCAGTTGTTGTTTCTGCTGCTGCTCAGGGAGAGGAGTTGGAGTCCTTCCCCTGCTCCTGTGGGGTCCCTCCCACAGGATACAGTCCTTGATGGACCTCTCCAGTGTGAGTCCATCCCTCGGGTAGCAGTTCTTCCCAAACTGCTGTCCCATGGGTCACTCCTCCATGGGGTGCAGTCCTTCCCAAATGAGCTGTACTGACATGGGTCCCCCACAGAGGCCACAAGCCCTACCCAGGAAAAACCTGCTCCAGTGTGGGCTTCCCTCTCCACGGGCCACAGGTCTCTGGCAGGACCCCGCTCCATCCTGGGCCTCCCACGGCATTACAGCCTCCTTCCTGCATCCACCTGCTCCAGCCTGGGCTCCTCCATGGGCTGCAGGGGGGTCTCTGCACCCCGATGCTCCCCCATGGGCTGCAGGGGCAGAGCTGCCCCACCATGGGCTGCACCACGGGCTGCAGGGCCTCGGCTCCGGTGCCTGGAGCAGCTCCTGCCCCTCCTTCTGCACTGACCTTGGTGTCTACATTGATATTCCCATGTTCTCACTCTGCTCTTCCCTGGCTGGAATTCCTTCTGCGCAACAACCTTCTGTTCTTAAATATGTTATCTTGGAGGCATTACTATCACTCTTGATTGGCTTGGCCTTGGCCAGCAGCAGGAAACCCATCCTGGAGCTGGCTGGCATTGGCTCCACTGGACAGGGGAAGCTTCCAGTAGCTTCTGACAGAAGCCACCCCCGTAGCCCCTTCCCCTCCCGCTACCAAAACCCAGCCACAGAGACCCACTACAAGCATTAAATCAAAATTTCATATGACCTCCTCCTGCACCACACAGTACAGACCTGCTGCTTGCCTTCGTACTTGCTAGGCTGGGAATCCTCTGAGGTTTGAACCTTACTTGTTAGGAAGAGCCCATCTAACCTACTACTCATCTGTTTTTTTTTTTCTTTCCAAATGGATCAACAACTTGGACATCACAGCTACTTGCTAATGAGAAACTAATGATGGAGCGAGGTGTCTCTTTGATCTAATTTTGAAGACTTGTTTCCATGACCACAATTTAGCGTCAAGTCTCATGGAACAGTATTTTTTTTGAAGCTTGTATTTCCCCAAAGCACCAAGCCTATACTTAGGGTTGTCCTACTACTTGCCTTTTTTATTTGTTTTAGGTTTCCCTCTGCCTTATTCCAAGCTGGCTTTTGTGTTTTTGAACTGACTGCACTCCCACGCAAACACCTCCTAAATAATAGGTAGCCATTTAATTGACTGTATTTGGGAAGCACATATTTTATGTGTGGAAACTCCCTCAACTTTGCTTTGGTGATCTGTAAATTAGCGCCTCCTCCACTTTTTAAATAAAGGGCAAGAATTATAATTTTACAGCAATTTAAAGCAGGGACAAAGTCCACATTTTAAAAATAGAATAATAACTTGGCTCCTTATACTTTGCTCTCAGCCATGACAGTCAGAAAACCACATGCTCGAATATAACCCAAAGGATGCTCCAAAACATTGACCAAACGCAAGACTCTGTCCAGGTGCCAGCTGGAGAGGGAGGAATCTGCCCTCAAAGGAATTCTGTGCCAGAGTTACAATTAAACACACAAGGGGGAAGAAATTTTGTCATCTCACGTTTAGCAGCCAAACTCATCTATTCAAAGGGTGTTTCTTAAAATTACTAATTTTCCCTCAGCACCATACCCAGGCATTATGTTTTGCATTTCCCCTCACAGAATCACAGGATGGGTCAAGATGGAAGGGACCACAGTGGGTCATCTGTTCCAACCTCTCAGCTCAAGCAGGGTCATCCCAGAGCACATTGTGTACAGGATTGTGTCCTGAAGTTCTTGAATACCTCCAGTGATGGAGACTCCACACCCTCTCTGGGCAACCTGTCCCAGTGCATGGTCACTGCACAGTAAAGAAGTTCTTCCTCATGTTCAAGTGGAACTTCCTGTGCATCAGTTCCTGCCCATTGCCTCTTGTCCTAGTGGTTGGCACCACTGAGAAGAGCCTGGATCCATCCCCTTGGCACCCCCAATTTCTGAGACTAAAATAAGACACACAAAGGGGGAAGAAATTTTGTCCTCTCGCTTCCAGCAGCCAAACTCACCTATTCAGAGAGTGTTTCTTAAAATTATTAGTCATTTCTTCTCCTTTTCCCTCAGCACCACACCCAGGCATTGCTTTCTGTGTTTTCTCTCCGGGGAACCCAGCGGGGTTTCACCCTGGGGGGCGAGGGCAGTGGTGCTGCTGTGAGGGGGGAGCAGTGCCCGGGGGGAGCTGCTCCCTTGCCCAGTGGAGCCACTGCCAATTCGGGGGTAAGGATTCTTCTCCCAGTTCAATTTCTGTGCTATTTCAATGGCTCAAGCCAATATTGCAGATCACGTTTATTTGCGTGATAAGGTTGTTTGCCATATACTAAACACCTGAAAATAAAGGGAAGGTTTTGTGGTTTCTTGGTGCTTGGTTCCAGTCCTCCCCGCAGATGGCACTGGGGTGGGCACTTTGTGGGGCAGCTTCTCATCACTGCTACACAGAACTGAAATTTTATTACAGCTCCAGCATTCATGTAGAGAATGCTCAGAACCCAGAAGTTCAGCCCCTTGCTCCCCTCGTATTAAGCACGACTGCTTTGAGATGCACCTGTATGTGCAGTGGTCAGAAGGAATCTCAAGATAAAAAAGACATTAAGCGTCCAAAGGAGGGCCATGAGGGTGGGGAAGGGTCTGCAGGGGAAGTTTTATGAGGAGAGGCTGAGGGTACTTGGTCCTGGAGGAGACTGATGGGAGACCTCACTGAGGTTACAACTTCCTTGGGAGGGGAAAAGGAGGGGCAGGCACTGATCTCTGCTCTGTGGGGACCAGGGACAGGACCCCAGGGAATGGCCTGAACTTGTGCCACCGGAGGTTTAGGTTGGATGTAAGGAAAAGGTTCTTCCCCCAGAGCGTGGCTGGGCACTGAATAGGCTCCTCGGGAAAGTGGTCACAGCACCAAGGCTGAGAGCGCTCAAGGACCGTTTGGACAATGCCCTCAGGCACATGATGTGACTCTTGGGGATTGTCCTGAGCAGGGCTAAGGGTTGGACTCGATGATCCTTGTGGCTCCCTTCCTGATGTCAGGATTCTCTGGAGCAGGGAGCAGAGCGATCCCTTTGGGATGTTCGGATGCCCCCGGGCACGCCCGCTCCGCCGGCAGGGGGCGCTGCGCGCTCACCGGGGGAAGCCCCGGCGGGGCCCTTCCAGAAGTTTCCGGAAGCGGCGGGGCGGAAGTGACGGCGCGCGCTGGCGGCGCTTCCTGTCTGCGGCCGGTGCCGTTGGGTCCCGGCGGGAGCGGCGCGAGCGGGGCCGCGCGGAGAGGGCGCCGCGGGTGAGCGGGGACCGGGACCGGGACGGGGACACGGGATACGGAACACGGACACGGCCCGGGGTAGAGGCGGGGGCAGCGCCCGCCGGACCGCGCCGCTCGGCAGCCGCGCCGCTGTTGCCGCGGCCCCGCGCAGGCCCGGGGGGCTGCGGTGCCGGAGCGGCCCCGGGAGCCGCGGGGGCTCCGCCCGGCCCTGGGGAGATTGCGGGGACCGCGGCGGGGAGCGGCTGCGCGGGGCTCCCCCCGGGGCCCGGCGGGGCAGCTCCAGCTGCGAATCCCGGGACAGTCGCTCCCAGGTCGCCGCGAGGGCGGAAACATTCGCGGTGGGTTCGGCTGCCAGGAGGTGAGGGCGAGCCTCGGTGCGTTAAACAGACCTCCTTGGAGTCCCTCCCCTCGCACGGCACTGCCGGGGCGGTTCTGCCGTGCCCTCCTTCTCTCTGCAGCTCTCCGCGGGAGGTTGTGCTGCGGGGGCCGGTCTGTGCCCTGCCTGCAGTGAGGGGACACAGGGAACGGCCTTGAGCTGGGACGGGCTCATGAGGTATCAGAAACAGTTTACCACCGTTCGGGGTGATCAGGCATTGGAATAGGGAGGCGGTGGAGTCACCGTCCCTGGAGGTGTTTAACAGGCACTGGTGATGTGGTTTAGTGGTTTAAGGGATACAGTGCTTGATGGTCTCTAACAGCCTTGGTGCTCTCTAGCTAAACGCACTGTTTTCCTCTCTGATAGAAGCAGTTCGGTGAAGTTCTGCTCAGTGTTTATTACTCAGAGCAGGGTCAGGAGCGAGGTTTGTTGTGGGTGAGGTCGGCAGCGGGTTGGTTGTTTTGAACTCGCTGTTTCCAAGCTCCGAGCCGAGTTGAAAGTTGACACCGGCAGGTAAGAAACATGGTTTGCCATCAGTGTTTGCTGGGCTTCAGAGGGGGCAGTGGGCTGGGAAGTGATTTATGACCACCGTTCATGTTTGCAGCAACACTCTGAGCTGTGTTACTGTCGGAGCTCTCCTTGGGTGCTGTAGGGTTGAGCCATGCTAACAGAGATTGTTCAAAATACTGAACAAATTTGTTTTGAATTCTGATAGTAATAAACTGACGCAGTAACATGGTAAAAGCTAAGTTCGTAACAGCACTAGTGTGCACGTGGCCAGGCTTGTGACATTGCGTAGTCAATCAGGGATCAAACCCGGAATTTTCAGGGTATAATGTGTCAAAAAGTGATAAGAACAAGGTGTTGACACAGAGGGAACAGCTGGAATGAAGCAAGGCTCTGCCTCTCCGGTCCTGCAGCAGAGGTTGCAGTCACTGCTGCCTGCTGACCTTAATTTTTGTTTACTCTTTGAAGATCCTTGTATTCCAGCTAGGGATTTTATGTTCAGCTGATGATCAAGATCCTGGTAGTTAAAATACCATTTAGTTTGATGGATTATGTTGTCAAAGAAGATTTGTTTGGACCAGTGAGTAAATGTATTTATAGATCTTGTCTCTGTGGTTACTTTTTTTTTTCTTAAAATTTTAACTGTAACTGAACAGTGGTCTAACTTTTTTCCTTCCTCTTGGCTCCTGTGCTGCCTTCTCAGTGGAGAATAAGAGAGTGTTGGAAATGGAAACTAAATTACTATTAAATTTTCTTAAATAATCTCAGATAGCGAAGGAGAAATTTAAATTGCTACTTTTACTGGCAGCACTACTTAGACTGCAGTACTAATAATAATTTCTCTATCTGTAAACTTCAGGGTTCCCCTTGTTCTCTATCAGAGTTGCGTTTTTAGCACTTGTGCTTTCATACTACAGCATGTTCTTATTCGGGTAGCTTCTCTCTCTCTGGTATTTTTTCTTGTCTTTCCTAGATTGATGCAGTTTGCTAATTTATCTTGGCTGGACATGGGTAGAAAGCATGCAAGGCTTCACCTCTGTGTAACACTGAAGTTTTAGTTAGAGGGCTAATGTGTTCTGGTACTTTTTTTTTTTTTTATTAAATAGATACACACATTTCTTTATTACTGTATTCTTTCTTTCCTCCACTAGAAGTTTTGGAATGTATACGGAGAGAGGGAACAATTTATATTAAATCATCATGGATGATGATATCAAGGATGTAGTAGTTCTTAACAGTGCGTGGACTGTCCTGGGGAAAGAAATACCTGGTTTTTGGTTTGTTTTGCATCTGTACTTAACACGCTGGTGCAGTGAGGTCTGCGAGGGATGAGGATAGTGATTGTGTTGTACCCAAGTCCAGAGGCGTCGCAATTCCGGCCTGGAATCGACTGAAATGTCACACCGGGTTGGGCTCCGAGCGCAGCCACCCGTGTGAGCCTGAGCTGCTCCTGTGCCGCGGCTGTGAAGGGGGGGCAGCTTGTCCTGCCAGGGCACTGCACTTCCAGGCTGGAGCACCTCCCGCTTCTTACCGTGTAAACAGTGATGTTTTGAAGGGAATGCATTGCCTTAATTTTCAACTTAGTAGTGTGAGGTTTAATGTTCTAGCATTGTGCTCCTTAAGTAGGAAGTGCTCCATTTCTCTAATAGCATTTGTAAAGAACCTCCTCAGCCTCACGTCCTGAAAGCATTTTCTGTCAACAGCTTTTCCTTTGTCTTACTCAAGGAACAAGGATTCAAGGATTAGTGAGAAATTACTTAGTTTTGTCAAAACTTGTTGGATCTTGCCTATGATGATTGTTTATTTCAAGATAGATTTAAAATAAAACTGAGGATATTAGTAGGTGTAAGTTATATTTTTTCTTTTGAATGAAATACATTTGAATGGATGTTAGATTTTTCTTACATTTAGACTTAACGAAAGCATTATTCTCCTTCTGTTTATTTAACTGCTAGGGAAGAAATAATTAATGCATATGCATTTCACTCCTCCAGTTACTCGTTGTAGGTTTCATTTATGCTTTCTATTTGTTCTGAGAAAATACTGAAATCCCACTGATGTTAGTGAGGACTCAGAACCTAACAAGGATCTTAAAGCTCATATAATAACTGTGAGGTCATTCCTGTCTACATTGCAGACAGTTTTAATAAAAACTTTATTTGTTTTGATTAGAATTATTTTTCTACCTTAAAATGTAGTCTGAATCTATGACAACCTGTCAGTGCTCTGAAAAAGAACTTGCTCTTTGCGTTAATGAAACTTTTTTATTCTGTTTGTCTGAAATAAAATTATCATGACTCCAAAAATACTTCAGGGAAAGCGTGTAGAAACTTTTAACTATTTTCTTTTCTCTAAAGGATCATCTCATTGCATGTGATTATTTGGCTGAAACTTTCTTGGCCCGATCTTTCAGTTGAGGCTTTCACTGTTTTTAATTGTTTAATCAAATGCAGATCATATATTTTTTAAAATAAGATAGGAATATTTTGACTTTGTATAAAGTAGCCTTTTATGGTTAGTTTTAGGAGGGTTCCAGTGTTGCAGATATTTGTGACACAATTCCAAATTTGGACACCTGAGTTGTTGTGTTTTGGAAGAATGCTCCTTTGCTTTAAGGAAAGCTCGTGAATAAATCTCCTTCGATTTAGGGCCTGCTCAGAGATAGATGGATAAGCAGGAGAATGTCAGCCAGGGGAGTGAGGGTGACCTATTCACTGATCAGCTCCCTTTCCCTGTTTTTGTTAGACATTTCTTTCACAGATGAAGATTTTGGATTTCTTCTGTTTTCCATTTTTGTTGGTTCACTGTTTTTAATGTTTTTTTACCTGTTACCCTCTCAGGCTTTCCTTGTGCCAGGCAGTAAAACACACCAGTCGTAGTTCTTGTCAGAGGTGTGTCTTGCAGCCCTTGGGGAGGAGAGGAATGGACAGAGTTCTTTGTAACTTCTTGCCTTAAGGGGTGAGGGAGCCTTGTACGGGTGTCTCCTTTTTGGTTGTGGTGGGGTTTTGTTGTTGGCTTTTTTAAAATGGAACATGAACTTCAAGGTAAAAAAGCAGCAGCTTCCTTTTCCCTGTATGAACTGCGTGCTCTTGTGTAATAATAACTGTATCCAAATCCACTCTGTTTTCTGACATAGAGGCAGGATGTTTGTTCTGAGCATGAGTTTAAACTAAGCTTTTTGGAATGTTCATTTGATTAGATTCATCTCCTGGGGATGCTGTGGTAGTATTAAAATAATGAGTATAAACATGGCTATTTAAGTACATTTTACTAATTTTAATTGTATGGTAAGTTTACATTTTTCCGTGAAACAATAAATTTCAGGAACCTGTGAAGTTAAACTCTGACAGCTTTTCTAAGCTCAGGTAAGCACAAGTTAAAACTACTGATGTTTTTAATATGCCTTAGTCTGCACCGCACTGTGCTGGTATCAGTGGGGGGAAGAATTTAATGTTGGTGCCTTGTTTAAATGTATTTTCAGATTAATTAATCACAAAACTTATACAGGTTTTCTTGCTCTGTTATTGCACTCATCAGAATTAAAGTAAGTTTCATTTTGTTCCTTAGAATTCTTAAACTTCTTAGTAAGTTTTTCTGGTAAAGAGTGTGGGCATTTTTGTCTTAGCTCTTGTACAGTGCTGGCACGGTGGATCTTTGCAAGTTCAGTCAAGAGACTGCTCATGGTTTCAGTTCAGTTACATATGGCACATCCCAGATATTCTTGCTAGAAGTGACATAGATACCTTGATTTTATTTGGGATTTGGCCAAGGTTTTGGGACTTGTATGGCTTCCTGCGTTGCTGAGTTGTGCTAGGTGAAATGTGTTTGATTGTTGCCTGAGCGGTGTTTCATTCTGAGGAGTCATGGTGTGAGATTTGGGTTTGGTCAGGACATAGGAGGCACCAGAAGTCAGGTTCTGTAACCAGTATCTGTTTTTTAAAGACAGTGGTTTCTTCAAGCCAATGAGAGCTCTTTGAACTGCTGGTACAAATGTGTCTTAGAGGCCTTGGCAAACAGTGTTATGGTTGATCTTTGTTCACCCTCTTTTAGATGGGTAGATAAAATAGAGAGATAAGGCAAATGATTAAAATTTGTAGATTGCATTTGAAATCTGTAGCTTGTGAGCAAATGAAGTGACTGAACTTCAGATGAAGTTTGTTACTTCTAAACAGAGTATTTATATATGTGTCTGAATTTACTGGACTATAAATAATAAAAAGATTAGCAAAGGTGTCTTAGCTGTGTAAAAGTCAAATGAAGAAATACTAGAAAACTTTGAAAGTGTGTGTGTTGTTGGAATTCTTTGTCTTTCCCTGGATCCACAACAACACTAGCATGACTGTAGTGTGCATACTTGAAGGAGTGTAAAATTTCATCAGATCCCACTCACATATTGCTTTCTAATAAAACTATTGGAATATGAAGAATCATATTTTTTAATCATAGATTACAATTCCCAAAGATCTTTGAGTGTGAGCATCATCTGTTAACATCCCAGAGATATCTCTAGGTTGCTCAGTTGCTGTTGAGTAGGTCAGATTCAAGCTCAAGCTGAACTGGGAGTCAGAACTGGGTATTTATTCCTTCCGGGTTGCCAGCAGGATGCAGTCCTTTACATATGTTCATGGAAAGCAGCAGGTACCAGGAACTGGATGGCTGTGGGACTTGCACAGGATGTTGATGACTGGCTGCTTCTGCGAACTGCATGAATCAGGAGTTTGGAACTCCATCTGGCTCTCCAGGTGACTGCACTAGTCACAAAGCTTGAGCTATTCTGGCATCTTTCAGGACTCTCTGTGCTGCCTGTTGCTTCATGGCCAGAAATAGATAACGTTTTCTGACTAAGCTGACTGCAAAGGTCGCATGCCCCTTGCTGTCTGAATTCCCTCCTGGCTGCTCTAAGAATTTCTTGTTTGGATACTTTTTTCCCTTCCGTATTTAGTTAGGGGTGCTGCTTTGTCATCCCTTCTGGTTGTGCAGCTGATTACTTGCTTTGCTTTTCTTTGTAATCTGATTTTATAAAAGTTTATGGCTCTGTACATATCTGTGTTCTGTAATGCTTCTCATGCCTTTTATGTAGCTGAGGACTGTGCTGTGAAGAGAGTTTATGAACTGGGTTTCAGGATAACTGGTGGAGCTCTGGGCTGTGCTGTACGAGGAGGGTCCAGCCTGGTCATGTGCTCCTGTCGGTGCCTTGAGTCAGTGTGAGTGTTCAGGGCCACTGCTCCCTAAGCCAGAATAAAGCCGACTTCTTCTGTGGTGACTGAGAACTCTATAAACTATGGAAACTTTTGGTTCACATAAACACTTATCTGTTTGATTTTCGTGGAGTTAGAGTAGCTGATAGTGCACTGCAAACGCAGGGCAGTTACCAGCACAAGTGACTACGAACTGCAAACACAAAGGCCATGAAACAACTTCTTTCAGCTGGAGATTTTTTGCTTATCTTTCTTCTGAGAATTTGAAGATTTTGTGTGGATGGAGACAGGAAATTAGCTAATGTGGGCTGGCTTCCTTGTGGCTTCAGAAAAAGCTCCCGAGTGCCTAATTAATGAGCCTTGCTTGTATATTTGGAGATGAATTGTTTGACAGATTTGGTGTTGGAAGAAGATTTTTGTCATGTCAATTTGGTTAGGATAATTGGGTGGTTTTTTGCATCTTTGAAACATCTAGGCATTTTCACCATGCAGATTTCTGCTAGCCTTACAAATACTGATTTTTTTTTTTTAATTGACCATCTTCTGTTGTCAAAGTTGATGGTCATCTATATTCTGTTTTATTATAAGGCTCATGGTGGCTGTTTCTTTGAGTACCTATTTTAAATAATTTTGTCCTGAAAAGATTGCAGACAGAGGTCTTTTCTAGTTTGCAAGTATTGTTGAGATCTTAGGGGGAGAGGGGGGGTTTTGGGTGTGGGTGATTTCCTTTTTTTTTTCCCAGTCTTATTTGCTGTTGAGCAAAAATCCAAGTTTTTTTCAGGGGGCTAAATATTAGCTGACACTTTTTTTTAAAATTAAGATGAACAAAAAAGCTGCAGATTATTTTCTTGGTGTAAATATTGCTAAAACCTTTTTACATACAAGAAAAAAGTTCCTATGATAACTAAAATTTCAGCAGTACAATTTCTGGTTTATGGTAATTGGCAGATAAAAATAACAATAAATCAGAGATGAACTCTTTACTGTCACAGAACTGTTTGATTAGGAGAAGGAGAATATTAACAATTTGTTTTCTTTAGAGAGCTGCTATTTGTCTTAATTCCAGACTCTATATTAGCGGCAAGTAAAAACTGAACAATAACATGCTCACTAAAGACAGAATATGCAAGCCCCAAACATTTCTTTGGAACACATAATTCCTCTATTCTTGAAGGGTTTTGCTTTTTAGGGCCAGAGTCATCTGTTAAGAGGTGGTCATGTTACCTCAGCATTGGTTTTTGGTTCCATCTTCAGGCTTCTCTTATTTAGGATATATTGATGTCTGTATTGAGTCTGAACTTAACAACACTGCAGCATTGTTTTTAAACAAACAGCAAAGTATTTAAATATATGATGAATTCAGTATGACTACCAGTGTGCCCAGAGTTTTCTAGGAAAAGATGTGATTTATTTTTTTACATGTGGGTTGCTTTTCCTACATACTTATTCTAGCTAGAAGCTTGAGGTTTCAATTTTCCCTGTAAGATAGGTGTCTGAATTGAGAGGATAGCTAATGCAAGCGTTATATTTAAGAAAAGGAAAATATGGAAAAAACACGTAGTGGTATGGTCTGTGCTCCTGTCTTGTGGCTTCCTGCTGTTTGCTGGTATCCTTGTTAGGAGGGACTCTGACCTCTAGCCTTAAACTTGACTCTTATTAGATATACTCTGATTTTTTTTTTTGTAACTATATGTTCCATATGTGCTATTGCTCATAAGGATTGGCTGTGGGGATTTGATAGCAGACTTAACCCATGCTGACCTTGCTCTTCCCCTCTTTGTTCATGAGCTCTTCTAGTCCTTGTGTGGGAAACAGCAAAACTAGTGAGGCCAGTTGATAGCAAATATTCTGGGATATTTTTGGTACTCTGTATGTTTACATGTTGAACCCTGACGTTAGTATATTATTATTGGCGTCCTTAATGTTCATTTTAATTCATGTCTCCCAACTTCCTTTGACACTGGTCACAATATTAACTATACCCTTGCTATTTTTTTGGTGTGGGGATTTCTTCAAAGGGCAAAGTCAATTAGAGGTCTGTTTACCTGCTGCACTTTAATTTTGTGTTTGTGGGACTGTATGGTTAAGTAGATTGCTAAAACCACCCAAGTTTTAAACACAAATAGCTCCTCCAATACATTTACTTCTGTGAGTAGTTTGGAGTGGGGAGGCAGCATGGCAGGGTATCTCTTAAACTGGTTTTGCCATTTGAGGAAATGTGTGTGTAACCACATCCCTAATTAAAGTTAATTAAGCTTTAACCTACAGCAACAACATATTTTGAAGCTATACCAATTTATTTTAAAAGGAAGCCTCTCATTACTGTTTATATTCTGGGATGTTGAAAGATATATGTAAAACGAGTACAATAAATTAATTTCAGAATATTTCACTGGGCTACATCATGCTTGGTATTTGTGTGAAAGAACAGGAAAATGAGACTGTGTGGGCTAAAATGAAAAACACTGAATGACTTGAGGGGGGAAAAGTTATTTCAATGAATTTTTGTTCTTGATGCATGAGATAAGAAAATGTGACTAATACATTGCTGTATTGTTATGTTCTGAGTGTGTTTGTGTGACTTTGCCTGCAACAAGTTGATAACTTGTGGAAAATGTTGGTGTTTCCTTGTTCATAAAACTTGGAATGAACCAGCAGCAGTGGTAGGATGGAAAGGTGCTTGGAATTTTTGCCAGAATGGAGACTTGTTGCAGTGTTGGAGAGAAGCCTTCGCAGGAAGACATAAGACATTATTGCAACTTTTAGAAAGATTCTTTCATCTTAGTCCTCATTTAGTTGGAGTAATGGTTGATATAACTGTTTCTTATAATTATTCTCTAATATTGACAAGAAACTGTCAGTATTTAATTTTTTTTTTTTTTAACTTGTAGGTTTCTTAGGACTCTTGTGAAAACTTTATTCTTTTATACTAAGAAGCAGAAGGTGGCTCTGTACTTGAGTTGGTTGGTTAACCTTGCAGTTGGAACAACCTTGCCTGGCAATGTACTTCTGTTGGTAAACATAAAGGAAGTAAAGGCTATTGAGTAGCTTTGGCAACTTGCAAATTTTTTGTCAAGGTCTGAGTACAAGAAAGGCTTACTGGAATCAATAGGTGGAGTTTTAGGTTTCCAAGACCTGCACATTCGTTGCTTTTCTGAAGAGAGCATCTCAGTGAAAATAATGTTCTGAAGAGCAGATGTGGAAGAAAGGACCCTTTGTTTCTGCTCATATATGCTTAAGACATGACTTAGGTGTCATAGATGACATTAGGTGAGCATGATATATGCTTTCTTTTGCATTCAGAGTTATTAATATATAATCAAAACCGTGACCCACGTACTCTTTTTAATATATTGATTAAATCAGGCTTTTCAGTCTATTTTGTTCCAGGAACTGCTGGTTACCCATGTGTCCGTGTACTGTGCTTCAGTGAGATTAAAGAACATAAAAATCAGAATTAAAGTAATTGTTTGACCTGTCGACCTAAAATAAAGTGTTTTTATTTTTTGGGGTTTGGAACATTTGAATTTTGTCCTTCTCAGATCAGGTTTGGTACTAGAAGATACCTGACTCCTACCTGACTTTTATGAAGTAACAATACTGGACAAGCTTCGCTTACAAGTTGTTGTTGTTACAGGACTTGAAAGACTGAGCTGTTGTTAACAAGACACCTCCTGAAACATGGTGGATTACTATGAAGTTCTGGGAGTGCAAAAGCATGCCTCAGCAGAGGATATTAAAAAAGCGTAAGTGTCACTGGTGTGTGTGTTATGTATTTTAAGGAACAAATATAATGATGTGGTTTCTGGATCTGCACTTTGTTGCCTTCCCTTGTTCTTTTGCTAATTCCTGCACGTGCTACTTTGTCAGCTCAAATGTTTGAACTGTGATCTGGTGTGACTGTGTGAAACACTCCACACCAGCCTAAGGGCAAGCTTAGCTTTGCCCCTCTAAGTAGTTATGAACACTTTGCCTAAAATGTTTCATTTGAGGATAGGAACTGTGTGCAGGTGTAGCAGTCAAAGAAGGCATTAATGATAAGATGCTGCCGCAGTCTGGTATTGGTGTGTTCTTGAAGCTTTATCAACTTTGACTGTACCAGGTGCTTCACATGTTCCAGATCCTTCTCGATGCTCCCCGTGGTTGCCTGTAGTACTGAATAATTATAGAGCTTCAAGGAGAAGCCCACAGCAGACGTGTTTTGGAATGTTATGCTTTGATCATCAGAAATGCATGGGAATAATTTCAAAATAACCGAAGCACATTGGACCACTTTTTTCTTAAAAGCATATCTGAGAAGGTGGTTCTTTGTGTGCCTGCAGAATCTGTTAATGCCAGTGTGGTTGCAAGATACAAAGCACTGGGGAATTTCTAAATACTCTTAATTCTTGACAACTTGTTTGAAACATTTTGTGTTTATCTGTATAGCATATTCCATCATTTCAGAGTACAATATCCTTTGTTTTCCTTCCACTTAGGTACCGTAAGTTGGCACTAAAATGGCACCCTGATAAAAATCCAGACAATAAAGATGAGGCAGAACGGCAGTTTAAACAAGTAGCTGAGGCCTATGAAGTTTTGTCAGATGGTAGGTATTTTAAAAGGGTTCTTGAATTGCCTTTCTCTATTCTGGGTATCAGACTGAAAATGTTGATGTATGATGCTATGAAGAGGTATTGTTAATTTGGTTTATTATGCAACTCGATTACTTCCCTTTCAAAAGAGAGAGAAGGAACCTGGCAGATAAGACAGAACAAGCAGAAATTTTGAAACAAAAATATCAGGATCTCTCTAGATGAGTAACCAAATTAGTTTTATTGTAAAAATTGAAATTGTGTGTCTGGCGGGCCCTCTTCAGAAATTTCTGAAGAGAAGTCTGCAAATACCAAGATTAATTTTATCTTAGCAGGGAAAGCCAATGTTACCATCGGTATAGGGGTATTATTGGGTTTATCCAATAAGTCAGGCTAGACCAACCCTGAAGCATCTGCTGTTGGGCCCACTGCTTCTAATTCTTGTAGCAGTAAACTAGTCTTGACAAAGCTCAAGCATATTGTAAACCTTGCTGAAAATTCAGATTGCATTTGGGTGAGTTCTGTAAATTCAGTCAACTGTGATACAGATAGTGATAAAGATGGTGTTTATTTTGAATTGTTCTGAAAGAGGTGCTTAGCCTGACCCATGTAGTGCAGGAATGCAGTTTAGAGTTCACCCATGTGTTTGCTCGAAGAGTATCATTAACTTCTGCCAGTGTTCTGGCAGAAGCAGTCTGAATCATAACAAAGTGATTTAAGCTACTTTGATTATTTTCCTCTGTAATTGACTGCAGCTGTCTATATGCTATTTCTGAAGTGTCCTTGATTTCACCTGAGACAGTGAGCATGGGAAAGCTATATTTAAAGCACTAGTGGCATCTAGATTACCTCTCAGGGTTCAGCCTGATTTATAGAGCTGCAGTCTAGTACACACTATTTCTTTGCTTGGTTTTGATACTTAATTGACATGGGAGAAACAGAACTTAATTTATCATTAGTTCATTGTCTTCTAGAGTACTTTAACCTTCTTGAACTAATTTTTTGAGCAAGATAAAAATAGGGTACTGGTCTGGTGGTTATACAGATCTTTAAGTTCTTTGGAAGCAGTACACTGCTAGAATTTTAGAACATCTAAAAGTGCTGCTGGTTTTTGGATCGAGACCAAATCCTAACTTACTGCTGTCTTAACAATCATCTGTGCAGCAGGGATACCAGAATCCTGAGCCCAGTGGTCAAGAGGCAGTCAGCTCCTCTGCAGACCTAATGAAATTTTCTGACATCATTACAGGCTTGAATGAAGAGAGATTTTTGGCAGAAGAACAGTTTTGTAAGAGGTTACTTAAGCAAGGAATACTGACATTAGGTGATCATTGAACACACTTCCCTTGTGGTTTAAAAATGTAACATTTTGAGATGAACTTTGGGCTTTGTGAGCCCTCAGAGTGCTGTTTCTTGCTCCTGACAGTTTATCTACCTTACTGCTTTGGTCTTTTAACATTGATGAGTAGGTTAACCTGCTTTCTTTAAAAATTGCTTTCTAGAGAGGCAATATGGGTAATTAAACGAGCTTTGGGGATTTGTGTGTGTGTGAACCTATTGCAAGTTTCTATTAGTTGGAGATGATGACCATTATATAAAATTTTAATTCCTGTTAGTCAGAAGTGGTTTAGTTTCCAGCATCTGTTTGAGGTAACTGCATGTTCTTTCAGTGATGCTATTTAAATTTTAAAACATCTTTCACTGAAGAGATTCCAGTGGGAAAAGCATGATAAAATTGAGAATCTAAAATCAGATGCCCAGACTGGTTTTTGGCTGATACTGCCACACCAGTGCAAGCAAAGTAAGCCAACTATCTGCCTCTTTAAGCTCTTCAGGTTCCCTTCTAGTACCAACAGTGCCATCTGATCCTATGCAGTAATGTAGAGCTCATTTTTCTCCCCTTTCTCGTGGATACTGTAAGGCTGGTCTGGAGTGAGATTTATAGTCATTTTATGCCTTCTAAAATAATGGAGAGCAAGCAGTTTGAATCACATCCTTCCATGGCATTTTGTAACATCACTTCATTCTCCATTATTAAGCCGAAAGAAGTTAATTTTAGGGGTTTTGCAGTCAGTCATATAAACACCGTTCTTCCGTTCTCATAACTCTCTTACTGTGGGTGTGTTCTTGTGCAATAAAAGGAAAAAAAGCAGTGGTCAAGGTTTGTGAGGTGGATAGAAGGAAGAGAATGCTTACAGTGAGAATGCCTGAGCTCTGGAACTGCTTTTCAGAGAAACTGTAGAATCTTTTCTTGCAGATTGGTGAGATCAGGACTTTATTCAGGCAAGATCTGACCAGCTTTGTGCTTAGACTTGTGTGGAGTAGCAGGTTGAATTCCAGAGGTCCTTTACAGCCTTAAAGCTTTGTACCTGTGTAAAGAAGAAGACTGCAGTATTCGTTTTAAAGTATTCTTTTAAAGGGCAAACTTCCTTGTGAAGTTTGTCCTTATACCAAACTTCTTCTGATACAACAGGACTGAAGCTTCTAGAACTAAATGGTAGTAAGTCTGAAGTTTAGTGCCTGTTCTTTCTGAACCTAAATTGCTTTGGCAATCCTCATTAAAAACATTCAGCAGTTATATGCTAGAATTTTGTTAAATAAATGAGCTTTGAGAAGGTGTTTAACTGAGAATACCAGCTAAGTCCTTCCCCCCCCCCAAAATCAATGTACCTGTTTACTGACATGATGTCCAACTTCTCCTTGTAGCTAAAAAACGTGACATCTATGACAGATACGGAAAAGAAGGCCTAATAAATGGAGGTGGAGGTATGTTGACAACCAGCAGTTCTTTACTTTCTCTATTCTGGTGAAATCTTCCAATCCTCTAAAAATTGAGATTACAACTGTTTTACATTTTTTCTAGTTGTGTTGTCAAAGGTATTACTGTTATCTTCTAAAAACAGACAAAGAGAACCAGTTGTAAAAAATATTGTGTGTACTTAACCCAAATGATACCTGAAAGGGAAACTTTAGAAGTTGTTTATATTTTTAAATGATTCAAATACCATATAGGACTGAACTGTTTTGTTAGTGAGAACGTGTGAAAGTAATTGAAACTTAATGGTTTTTTTGCAGGTGGAAATCATCACGATAATGCATTTGATTTTGGATTTACATTCCGTAACCCAGATGATGTCTTCAGGGAGTTTTTTGGTGGAAGGGACCCCTTTTCATTTGAATTCTTTGGTAAGTAGTCCCCTGGTTTTAGTTACGTGCATCTAAAGTGTGGCTAAAACTTTACGCTTACAAAACAAATACAGCTAATACAGTTTTATTAGAAATAGTTCTGAAAATGAGGTAAACAATTGGTATTTTGTATTATATTTGAAGTATTTGTTTCATACATGTTTCTTGGTTGATTTTATAGTACAGAACAGATATGGCTTGCCAATACATGTTTTGTTGGAAAGCCTTGTTTACAAAACCATGAAGTCATGGCTGCTGTGTCTCTGTAGATTGGAAGGAACTAATATATGCTGGAATTTCCTCTCAAGAATTCAAGCAGGCAGACTTAGTCTGTTGAATTTCATCTCTTTTGATCTCTAAATAAATAAAAAAAATAAAGCTTTGAGAACTTCTGAACTGGGCACGTTACCTATAACTGTTACAGCGTAGCTCTCACCGTGGGCTTGTGTCAGAGCAGGAGTGATTTTCTTGTGTTGGAATAAGAACAGCTACATACATAATCTAGACATTCTCCCAAATTCATGTCACTTATTTGCTTGGGGTATAGAACCCCTGAAGACTCAGATGAAATAGTTCTTGAGGCCTCGATGCTTCATTTAGGAAGTGCTCATTAAAGGAAGCAATATGTGATAAAGTTGTCAAAGTGATCTTTTTACCCTGGTGGTGAGGGTCCTTTGACTTGTGATGTTGCTTGCTCTAGTGAAGGTCTTTTCAGAGGTGCTGGAGTTCTTATACAATCTCTGTGTATATTCTACTCATCAAAGTGCTGATCTATAAAGCAGAACAGATCCCGTGTTCAGTATTTACTGCGAGAAGGTTGCATACTGAAAACTGCAAGAAGGGTACTTGAAAAACAAAGCTTTATTCCTGTTATTCCTGATATTAATTTCTATAATACTGTATGTAAATGTTTCAATATTTTTAAAAGTAATTTTTTATCTTTGGCAGCATTAAGGGTCTAGTCCAGCTCAGATTTTAATTATATCTTTCTCTGGTTTGCTATTTAGGTATCATCAGCTGTTGGATGACTCTAATGAAGGATTAGAAAAGGGGTTGAATACAGTAGAATGCTAGTTGAGGAATTAGATGAGTAGCTAGAGGAAGAATCTGGTAGAGGATAAGCAGCAGAATTTGGGCAATTGGATCCAGTGGGAAATCAGCAGAAGTAGGAAAGGGCAGATTGGAGGAAGCATCTAGGAAAATACTAATGAGTGAAATGGGCTCTGAACTGGGAAGATGCAATTTCTTCACTGTCTGCAGTACAGTAAAAATTTTAAGAAGTGCTAAATAATGATTTCAGTTGAGATGAGTGATCTCAGCACTGGTTAGGCCACATCTGGAGTACTGGGTCCAGTTCTGGTCTCCCAAGTAAAAGCAACAGAGTTACTGGATAGAGTCCAGTGAAGGGCCACTAAGATCATTATAGGACTGGAGCTTCTCTCACCTGAGGAGAAGGTTGAGAGAATTGCTGGAATTGTTCAGTATAGAGAAGGCTCAAGGTGAGAGTTATCAGTGCATTGGGAATGGAGGGTGTAAAGAAGGTGGAGCTTGGCTGTTGTCAGTGGTGTCCGCTGGCAGGATAAGAGGCAATGACCACAAATGGAAGCACAGAGGTTCTGCCTGAACTTAAGGTAGCATGATTGCACTGTGAGGGTGACTGAGCATTGGAGCAGGTTGTCTGGAGAGGTGGTAGAATCTCCATGATTGGAGATACTCAGAAGGCATCTGGATGTGGTCCTGGGCAACCCAGTCTAGGTGTCCCTGTTTGAGCAGGGGATTGGACCAGATGAACTCCATAGGTCCCTGTCAACCTCAGCCATTTCGTGATTGAGTGGTAGAAACCCTAGAAAAATCTGAGCAAGGTGTTGAGTAGGAAGCTAGAGAGGAGGAGCTGGGAGAGCGTGTTTAGCACTTTTGTTTACTTTTTCATTTAAGATCTATTAAATAAAATAGTTGGTTCTCATATATCTTTATAGTAAATTGTATAGGTGAGGCATATTCTACCTACCAGTGGGAGACTGACATGGACCCTCCTTGGTTTTGATTGTATTTACTTCATCAGCCCTAGCAGGAGATTTAACTTGCTGCCTATGAAAAAGTCAGTGTTCATGATTAACCTTAAAGCCATGAAGTTAAATTCTGCTTTAAAATAGTGATGGGCTTAAAAAAACCTGAGGACTTACCTTTTGGGTTCCTTGGAAGGAAGACTGTACAGCATAGTGTGTAGAGTTATCCCACTTATCAAGTGGAGGTACCACGGCTAACGAAGTTTTCCTGGGATGTTGCAGCTGCTATAGCCTCTCCTGTGTGATACATCTTACCTTGTTACATCAGTGGACTTAACAACATACCCCCCTTGCTTAATATTCAAATTTATTTATTTATTCAGAAGCTGGTTATCTACTTCATGTATTGACCACTGTCATCGTCAGCTTTAAGATATGAGTAGTGAGGCACAAGCTCTGCTTCTTGCCCAGTAAGGTTCTGGCACTGTCAGCAGTGTTATGTGCACTCCAGTTAAAGAAAACTAATAGTTTCTAAGCTGTCTCTCTACTTCATGTGGATAGTTGCAGTGTCAGTGACCAGAGTCCTAAAAGCCTATGTTGAGCTTTGGATTTTGAGCTTAAGCTCTTGAAATTTTTCTAGTCAGAAGGCTTCAAAATGAGCACCTTTTCATTTTTTTTTTTTTTTTTTGCTTTAAGATGCTGAAGGCATTCTCTAACATGGGAAATTGTAACTCCAAACATTTTTTTCACAGATTTTTATAAAAAATTGTTGGCAATTGTCTTTACACATACACAAATATTTAAGGTAGTACCACATGAAAATATCGATGCTTTCAGCTCAATGTAGTGCATTTTATAATGCCTAAAACAAGCAGCAGAATTGTGTGTATGGCATGAATATTTGTGTTGGTGAACTAGAGCCCTTGTAGATTCTGCTGTGTTGAAACACTGGTGGAACAGTTCTGTCCTGAAGAATAAGTGAATTTGTCTTCTAAAAATGAGGAGTTTTCAACTTGTTGATGAGTTTTCTGTGGAAGTAGTGACTTCTTAAGGAGCTACTCAGGTTATAATTGATATTCTAAGCAACTGGATAAGGACTGGGGTCATGTTTTCTAAAAATGTACACTGGTTGAATCAAAGATGAAATTGAATAAATACTTTGAAACATTTGTACTTTTTATGCAGTTTGAAGTGGCACATAGTGAAGCCCACATAATGCAGGTGGGACTCTCTATCCTGATTGGCATTGAGTATGTAAAGAGCAGCATTCATATGCATAATTCCTGTAAATTTATGGATGTGAAGGTTTTCTAAAATTGTGCTATGAATTGAGTCTGTTAAACTCCACTGAGCTGTATTGCACTGATATTGCAGTTACAGTAAGTTTTCTTTATAAACAAAGGCATCTTTATTCATCTGTAGAAAAGAGGAGAATGTATGAAGACTTCTGTGGTGATTTTTAAGTGATGAGTCCCTTCAGACTTTTCAAATGAAAATTTATAATACTGTTAAAGACAGCTCTGAACACTTCCAAATGGAGCAAAGTTAATGTTATGTGCTGTGTGTTGCACTGGAGACAGTCACAGTTTCTCTTCGCTCTTTTTTTCAGGCAAATTCTTTGTAAAAATAGGGGTGATTTTTAAAACTTGCTCTGATACTATGACTGCTGGTTAACTCCTAAACTTTGAGACATGTGGGCTCGCTTTTTGTGACCCCTGGTTACAGCAGAGTCTGTATTCCTGGTGAGCTCTTCTGGTGATAGTTTTTAAGTGTCTTTGACATAGGGATGGATGTTAATCCTTATGATGGGAAGAAAAGTTGATGCTTCCTGTGCAGTACTACTTTTGTATTGCAAAGTACTGCCTTGGTATACCAGTGTCTGGCATTCAGCTGTCTGTGCCATACACCTGCTGTTCTCTGACTGGCCTTTGACATTAGAACTGACTGTTTACTCTTAATGTAGGGATTGATTTCTCATTTCAGTAAGCTTGCTTTATACTGAAACTATATCCTACTTCATTTGTATTTGGTGCTTGCCTTGCTTTGGTTTATTTATGTTCTGTTTAGCATTTTGTTTGTGTTTTACTTGTAAACTTTTCAAGGATGTTCTGCTGTACTTTACCAGTTCATATAGGAGGAGAGGATCCCAACGTCACCACTGGTAATGGAGGTGTATTGAATAAAGACCTGCTGTGTCAGGGATTGTGAGGAACAGAAATAGATGTGATTTGGTGTAGGCAAAAATGCTTGGCTGTTTCTGGGCTGTTAAAGATTTGACTTGGTTTTGGTTTAGAGGCTTTTCAGGTTCTCACTTCAAGGATGAGTTCTATGTTGGAAGATATCAGTGAGGAATTATGTTGAAAGATGAAGGTGGTATAACAAGATCATAACATTCCCCAACAGGCCATTTAGTACTTCAGACAACTCCTTAAGGAGTCAATTAACCTCTTCTAGACTTTTAAGCTTCACATACACTCTAAACCATCTCAGCTGTCACCAGATATGTCTGTGATGCCCGAGTAGTTTCTGTATGGGCTAGAAATTACAACTCAGGACCTACAGCAGACCAGTGTCCTCCAGCAGCTGTTTCTAGGAGCTCGACAGGATGTTTCAGGGCGTTTCAAACTGCTTTAGGTGCCTGTATGTCTACTGAAACGAATCCCACAAGGAACCATGCTTTTCTCCCTGGTAGAATGTGTTACTGATGTGATGTGATAAATTGGTCCCAATGGATGCCCTCTCTAGACTTTGATGTCCAAGAGAAGTCTGTTTGTGGAGTCTCTTTTCAACACAGATTGTAGTCTTGACAGTTTTGCTATAGTTCCTAAACATTTTATTATTCTCAATGTGCATTTGGAGATAGTAATTTATAAATGTCTTAAGTGTTTTTCTTAGACTGTAAAGTAGGATTCATGATGTATTTTAATACAAATTTAATACCAGATAATGCATATAAACCTTATACATTCTGTGTAATTTTCCCTTGAGAATTCT